TATTTTGTGGTATATTAAAATACAGTATACAAAGTGAGACCAGGCAACTGATACACCTGTTAAGGGGTGATTCTATGTAAAATTATAAAGTCTTGTCAAATGTTCAAACTCGATTTTCTCGGAAGCGAAACGACGTATGAAAAAATTTTATTGTACATTTCCGACTTATTGTCTCACGTGTCCGATCTCACGCTATGTAGATATCAGAAAGAAGTTTTACTTGAAACAATATGTTGTTTAAATATTAAAAGAAAAGTTGAAAAACAGTGATTTTTCATATCACGAAAATATCGCCAAAAATATTTTATAAATTTTATAACGATCAGAAAAATCTCACAGATAAGGAGGTAGAAGTTTCGTTTAAAAGAAAGAAGAAATAAAAAGCATTGTTTCGTGAATAATTAGTGTTTTTTCATAAACAATTGAATTTGTGTCAGGGTACATTATGCAGAGCGAACAGGTCGAGCTTCACGATATGTCAAAGGGAACACTAGGGCCCTTTGGGAGGATCTCGTCCGAGTAATGGGAATGACGACCGATTAATTGTGAGAAATACAGCCGCGATCAATTATAGAGAATATGAACAACACGACGAATATCTTATATCCTACATATTAAGTTAAATTATACGAAAAATATACATAAAAATATGTTTGTTATAAGGAGGCACGAATAAACTTCGTATAGTTTAATTCAAGTTACATGCTATACGTATACTACTCCAACACTGACGAAACTTTCCGTTTTGTTGTTGTTGTTGTGAACTATTGTTATTATAATAGCTGTGAACTATTTCCATAATTAAAAAATCCATAGGTGTTTTGGATAGGCGATGCTGAACACCGAATAAATCGCAAACGTGCTCGTAATTGATAAGCATCTTCGTCGAATAATTAGTGGGATCGCGGAGAAAAATTGAACGCATTTAGTAATAAATTCGTGGGCAATGATTTCGAACGGACGCATATTCCTTCCGCGTTCGCAGATAATGCGTATAGCGTTTTCATTTTATTTCGAATAACGATTTCAACCGCTGCCTCGTATCGGTAAAGCATCAAATTTGCCCGATGTTTACACACAGGTTGACCGTACTCGCAGTGACTTTGGATAACCGTTATATTTAACAATAAAAATAGCGCGGTGTCCGCCATTAGTTTGAGCATCACGTAATGCTCGCACGGTGTAAATATTGTTCGCGTTATTCTTTGAAAAAAACCATTTGTCATTTTAATTTCTATTTTATAATAAAGCGAAACTCTGTCGAACGTTTGCCAGTTAGCTTAAACAAAAGTCAGACACAAATTAGACGATCGATAAAATTTATTCGTCGTTTGTCGTTTGCAGCGAGAACGTGATCTTAAAATTTTCTGATTTCGATTTGATCGTCGAGTTTAAAGTTCTTTCGGTTCTCGATCTCGTGATTTTGATAAATTGCCGACGTTTTCGTTTAATTGTCATTCCGGTCCCTTTCGAAACAGCAACACGCTTATGATAGCTTTATGCGACAGCTAAATTTGAACTTTATTGTCGTAACCATCGCTATCGTCATTATCATCATGGCTTAACTGATTGTGGTTGCACAAACGTAACGTGATGCTTTCATCAACCTATGTAAATCGTACATTACTCGTAATACCATAGACTGCAGTTTAACGTTCAACAACTATATGTAGGTACTTTGGAATAATAACGCTATGTTTGGCAATAAATTCCGTTGCTGTTATTACTTAAGAGACACATGCGCGTATGTAATTCGTGTTTATAATCACCTAAAGTATTTCGTCGTTTGCGATAGCATACATTTTTACTTGAAAAGTTAAAATTAATTGAAAAATTACGCGAAAAGATCAATTATTTCGGTATACATGAATACACAATTCAATGAATATTTATTAGAATATTGAAAGACTCGTTTCATTTTTAAAACATCGTCGCGAGCTAAAGGATCTCCTTCCGTATATATTTAAATATTCGTGAATTCATAGGAAGAAGCTTTGAATCGTGTTATGCGTAATATTTAATAAGCTTTATTCCGTGGCGATAACATTGAATTTTTAAGTATCTTGTTCAATGATGGTGGGAAATATTCTTAATACAAAGTTAAGTACGGCTAATAGATCGTAGTACATAATGAAGCAACGTATTCTACATCGTGAGTGATGAATTGCTTCGTACGCTAAGTATCACACGTAGCCCATTAATACAAATCATTGCGGCATCTATAATTATCTCCAGTAACCAACCGTCCGTCAAGGCAAAGCTATTGTTTCAGCAAGGCCAATCTTGTGCCTATCTAACCGTTTCTCTCCTGTACCTTGCTCTTGTCCGGATCATGTTGCACTCACTGTAGAACCCATTGATTTTCAGGATGTCGGACATAGCTCTCGGTCACCCGCAAATAAACCTAATCACCACTAGGATGTTCTGAATTGTCAAGCCACCTTCAACACTAGTAGCGTCGAGTCCGAAATTAAATTAGTGTTGCAATCGTCAAGACGATACCTGTTGTTGATAACGTCCATGATCGTCGTTTAATTTGTCATTTCATTTTTCCCTCTGATTGAGATATGTATTTTGGGTTTATTTCGAGTCGAGAAGTCGAAATGATAAACGACGCACAGCGGCTACGAAAAGTATTACGCGTACTCGATCAGATTTGAATGTCATTTATCTGAAAATTATTTTCTCTCGTTTCGATTGTTCATAGGATCTCTTCGTTTATACCGCGAAGTACTCTCTATAAAATTGTGCATTTTGAATTATTTCGAAAGCTACGTCAAAGTATCGTTTGCCTTTTTTCTTAAACGAATGGGATTTGTATGGACGTACTTGCATACGCGTGTATGATAATAATTACAATTGACGCGATTACGCTGGATTACATTTTATCAGATAAGTCACAGAAGCTAACGAGAATCAGATACAGCGACAGATTAATCTTATGCTCTTTGACTTTCACATGCGCTTGAGTCTTATCTGACATTCTGTACTTCTTCTTGTTTTAATCCGCTTACACGTTTGTGGGAAAGATGTACATACGTTTAATATGTATCTACTAGGAAATATAGCTCTGTTTCGTGGATGCATCAGATTACACTGATTCTGGAAGTACAATCCCTGAGTATTACAGTAATATCAGTGTACCAAGTATAAACGTAACAAATTTTTCAGCTATAAGTTTAATTCGGAGTGTATAATAATATTAGACCTGCATCGAGTGCTCTACCGATAAATCTAGACCATATGTCATTGAGTAAACCAAATAGAATTATGTCGATATATCATAATCTTGATCATAGTTCTTTTTAGATCATAGTAGCTTAAGAGCTAAGGGATTGAGGAATACTAAAAAATTACATACTGTTTATTCTTCTATTAAACGAGTAATTTATTTACAAATTCATTTACAAACTCTAAAAATAAATGCTAAAACAATCAGAACATCAGATTATTTCCAAGTACGGTGCATGAAGGTACAGATCAAGTACTTTCGCACTAAAATTAAAAAATCTACAAACTTCGTCTCGTGAATGTCTCGATCATGCAACAGATTAATTAGTAGGTTAATTATATTAATTACGTTAACTCTGAAAGTATGATCGTATTCGTCGATACATTTAAACAGATCGATACAATAGTCAATTCAATACAATTCGTGCGAACTAGTCCATTCCGGTTTACATTCGGAGTAATTAAACCGGACGATCGATCAAGTCTGTCTAGAGGTCATCGAGGCTAGAAGCATTCTCGCTGCCAACATTGTTTACGTTCTTAATAACTTTTGAATTCTCTGACAGTGGACCACTGGTAACAATTGGGTTCAATTTCCGATTAACAATTACCGAAGCGTCGCACGCGAAGAAATAAAATTGCGAAGGGATAACTTTCTTCTTGGCGAAACGATTCACGTCGCAGGTGACGATAGTGTCCGTTGCGTGTAACTCGGGACACGGGTACACGTGCAGACCAAAGGCAACTTCTCAAAAAGGAAACATGGACTTCCTGGCTGCTCGTTCCTTGTAACAATGTCTTCTCGTCTCACCGGGATCTTTACGCTTTTCCACAGTAATGAGGGTAGATGGGGTACTGGAACGAGTAGATTTAATTTCCCTCGGTCCTTATACCCATCTTTCTCGTCTTTGCCAAGAGCTCGCAGTGGCAGTTACGTCGTCCTGCGCCTTTCCTCGTCTAATTGCTCTCCGGATCACAGCACCGTTGTCTTTCAAAGACAGCCACCTTTGTTGCGGATCGTTTTCGATTTTTCCCATGGTTCTTCGGCATCGGTATCGTTAAGGCGGTATTGTATCACTGGTAGGTGTTCCATAGTCGGATCAGAGAAACGTGTAGACAGATTTTGAGAATCTAATAAAGATCGTTTCGACTCGGCGAGTCCCGAATGATCGTTAATTACATCGACAATTCGTTGATAACTGGTTGATAACTGTTTGATCGCTGGTCGACAACTGACTATATTACCGAGATGCTTATGCTTATGGAAATTATTCTATAAATGATATGAGGCGAGGTTTAAAATCATCTAACGGAGTACGGGAAGTGTTTGGTGTCGACGGGATATATTCGCTGCGACGGTCGACACGTCTACGTCGCTTATATTTGAATTTATAACAGTCCACTTCGCGACTTCTCCCACATTCGTTAGGTTCTCTGTAGTGTGTGCAGAATTTTGTTGATGTCCCAACGGGTATTGATGAATTAAAGCTGAATCTCTCAAATCGTCGCAGTCTCTTTTTATATCCCGAATATTCCACGCGACGAGCTGCGCAGATCAGCTGATCGAAGGTAACTATCGATTCTCTTGGTATTTTCTTCCGGATTTTCGATTTGAGTAATGAATAGATCATATCGATCTGAACTTCTTCGGAGTGGGTTCGATGAAGTTCGTCGAAAAGAGCTCGTTTTTGTTTAATGAACATTTCTGTTGGAATATGATCATCCTGTTTTACGGAGAATATTTGGTGGTATACCTCGTATGGTGGTCTTTTGATCGAGAACCTTCGTTGTAATAGTTTTAAAGCTTCGGACCATATGCGAACATCCTTTTTAATATTGGCCCACCATATAGCGGCTTCTCCTACCAGTAAAAGAGGTAATTCTTGTAAAGCTGTTTCATCTTTGATTCCCTCCATATCCTTGTACAGCGTCATATTTAAGATGAAGTTGTCCAGGTCATATGCATCTCCATTGAACCGTGCTGTATAACCTACGAAACTGCCGACTTTTAGCGCTGCTGATGATTGTAGTGTCATGGCTCTGGTCATGAAACGGGATAGCTGATCCTCTTGCATATCGCAGTTCGTGGCTACGCCCAAATTTGCCTAAGAAAAGAATTTCTCTGGTAATTATATGTTTCCATTTTTGAAAACTCGTAATTTTCTAACAACTTATTTTTGTAAATACCTCGCCAAAACTCTTAAATGGCTCCGCGAAACTAGCAAATACCTGCGAAGCAGAATCCTGTTCCATTTGCTTCTCGACATCCATGATCGTAGCTCGAGGAAATTTCTGATTGTTTTCTTTATATAGAAATTGCTCGATTTGAAAGCGGTTGCTATTCACTGACTGCTACGGTCACTTCAATTTCTTATGCAGGAAACGTCCTTTATATACGTTTCCTTTTCCTGAAAATTCATCGGTCAATTAGAAATTTGTACGAATCCTAATTGAACCTTCTGTAGGCTGTTCGATTCGCTTAGATACTAGTGCAAGTACGTTCTTTGATTTGTACGTTAACGACAATTAATAGGAAAATATTCGGACATTAGCATTATTTTCATTTGTACGTTTTGTT